ACTGTATTATTGTTTAAAAAAAAAAAAAAAAAAAAAAAAAAAAAAAAAAGAAAAAGAAGAAGTATTATTATTTTATTAATGGCGGCCACCACTAGTCTTGAAGAAGAAGTAAATAACGATTATCACTAGTAACTAATTATTGGCTGCGACGTTGTCACTCTTGTATTCGTCTCTCGAGCGGTTTTAATCTGTTAGTAGTCAAAAACCAGCTAAGTCTTAAGCCCTCTATGTACGGGACTATTTGTCTTCACGATCCATCGTTTCATACTGATCGCACCGCCAAATCGATGTATAGTGTATGTTTATGTCGTTACACATCGTTAATAACTCGAACACCTGGGAAGTAATGACGGATCGATACCATTATCGTGACGATCGATCGAAACGAAGAATCATCTGTACATGTGACTTTAGTAATAATTAGTTGACTATTTGATGACAAAATTATAATTTCCACAATGATCTGGACAAATATAACTTTATTAAAACATAGTAAAACGCTCTTTGGGACACCTAGTAATAAAATTCAACCAGTAAGCATAATAAAAAACAAACCATTCAGGTTATTGACAATGTTTCATTTCCTGTACAGACAAACAAAGAGTTAAATAAACTACGTGTATCGGCAGATACAAGTTGTAACTAACCATTTTTCTATATTTATTTATCTATTTCTTTTCACATACCTACCAATTAATGCGCTAATAAACCGTTATTGAATCGATTCAATAGTGATTTATACGACGCCGATACTTGTATAATGATAATTCTTTGCTTTTCTCTGTTGGTATCAATTTCGCATAAATAAAAAATGTAAGTCTTATAACCTACTTACCTTCTATTATGAAAATTAAAAGTGTATTCTGAAATAGATATTGCTGTTTTTATGTAGGTATTAGAGGAGAGTGATATAATTGTAAGTGCGCTTGTGACGACTGCAACTTTTGATCTAATGATTACTGGGAAGACTCCGTCTATATAGAAAAAAAGATGAGATGTTGATGATGATAATCTGGCGGATGTTAGAACTGTAGGACCAAGTAAACTTACCGAGCAATGCGTGCTTGCAGAATAGTGGTTAATAATTGACTTAAACTATGTAGGAATTGCAAATACAGAAACTATGTGGTTAAAAATATGAATTTGTTAATTAATTCTGGTCTGAGTGAGTGTTACTTTAGAGTCCATTACCTATGTCACTCTGGGTAGGGAAGTCCTTCAGGGAATTATTTAAATTTAGCATGGTTTCAGCAGATGGCGTGTTTGTCTAGCTAATAGCACATTATTATTATATCCTTCAGCTCATTTGGGTCTATAATTCCCCTTTGAGTTCTGGATATATTATTGAGTGTGTCATTTTTACGGACGTTAGTCTTCAAAAATCGTATAAATGTAGTGTTTTACACCGTTCATCAAGTATTGTCTGCGCCTGTCAGATTAAGTTAGATGTATGAGTACCTATCAAATTCTACATTATGATATAAATAAAGAGCCTATTCTGCACCACTACTGGGCAAAGGCCCATGTTTCCATTGATCCTGATTTTGGGCTACATCTGGCCAGTACTTTAAAAGGGACAAATAATTATCCGCCATCGCCGACATGGTCTACCGCGTCTCCGTTATGAGTTGTGGGGTTTCCACCCCATGTTTCTCTTAACCTACGACTCGTTCGGCACGCGGGAGATGTGACCAGCCCAGACCCATTTTAACTCGGCTAAGCTTTTATTTATAATTGTTTAAGCTTAAACATGTTTGATTGATCAAAAACTATTAAGCAATTTTGAAACAAGTATACCTACTAATCATCTTTTCCATAAATCCTTGTTGGAAATTTGGATTTGCGATTATATCGATATAAATACTTCAACCACAGACCACATTCAACATATGTAATTATTATAATACTATTAATAGAATTATAGATCACTGATGCGCGTTAGAATTTTCGTGAAGTCGCCGCTCCTATCACGTAATAGATACGAGAAAGTGATGGGTAACCCTGCCACTTCACGCACATATTTGCGCGTGTGCAGATAGCGCTTTGCTGTATGTAATAGTAGAAGGTAAATAACTTTCAACCGATGTATGGAGTGTCCGGGGTGTGCTGTAATCTCAAGTCTTTATTAAGTTTATTCTTTTTAATGTTGCGCTATCAATTGTAGTAGTAGCATAAAAATAAAACATAAATGAAATAAAACATTAGTTTCGTTTTTATTTTAACAGTAGTTGTTTCTAAAGAGTTGTGTTAAGTGTATATTTAAGGGTATTATTAAATTCATTTACACAAAAAAAACGACACGTTATAGTCTAAAATAAGAGTGTTTGTTTGTTGTTGATATTGATAACGGTTGTCTATATGATGCCCAAAATGTTAATGTACAAAATAAACTAAGAAGTATTTTACAATTTGCGTAGGCCTTTTCTAATAAAATACCCATCAAACAGCCAGCAAGATATAAAACCAATCTTAGAATACAAGACAGTTGTTAGAAAGCCTAAGTGATTATTATTATTCACAAGAACTAATTTAGTTGTGCTATACATTGTGGATAGAGAAAGGAAAATTTAGAATATATATAATATATTTTTTTTAAATGCTATCAAAATCTTTTACTTTTCACCTAAATTATTACTTCTGTTGATACATCCATCATTCACAGGACTAGTGAACTCAAACACACGTGTTAGATAGAGCTCACATGACATCGGAAAGAAACAACAAACAATTACGAGTGATAATTAGTAGTTAAGCATAGGTTTAAATACATAATACATTTTTCAAATTGAAATTAAAGATCTTTATTAAGAATAGGTTAACAACAGCATGATATTTTACCTTATTATCTTATATTTTACCTTTCATGACGTAGCAAATAACAGTTAAAATTGCACTGATTATTACCATGCTACCAAATAAGTTAACAAAGCTTGAAAGGTGCACAACCAAACCGCTATCCATTTCTGCCATACCGGATCTTCAATTAGATGCTAGTGCATCGTACCAGTATGCTTTTATTTTTTAGTGTATCTCCTATCCAAATTTCATCAAATTTCATCCAAATTTAAGTGTATCTAGGCGCATTGGGGGTATTGGCACAGATAATTCATGGCAATCAGGAGGGAAACGATTGCGAATCCGATAATTAAAATCTGTAGAAGGTCTACAGTATAACAAGGATTATCATCGCCAGCTTGCATTATTTAGATGAATTGAGAACATGACATACGACTAAAAACAGTAGAATTAGTATAATCACAGATCCAATGGCGGTCATCAGTTGGTTAAGGCTGAAACTAAAATCAGCGATGGCCGGACCTTCTGCTGTTGATTTTCCACTACCCTTGGCCATTTCAATCCCTTATACAATTTCAAGTCATGACTGATATATACGTGATTCGATGGTGATTTTTAACCCCCTGCTTTCTACATTTCTAATATTTATTTATAGACAATTTATTTAGATAGGTACTTTTCATTTTGATGGTTGATTTGACGTCACTTTTAGTTTTTTAAACGATTTGACTTATTACTATAAAGATGGTAGTTTGGTAAAATCTTCTTTTGTAAAAATATATCATTTATTTAAATTATGGCAGTCTTCCATTGACTTACAATTATATGAACGACGGGTCTAATACAAAAACCACGAAAAAAATGTCCCAAGTCAACCTATTTAAACGTAGTGAAATGTAAAGGAATATGAAAAAGCTAAAATGTTGAATTTAAATTGTAATGTCATCGCAGTACTGTCTAATTTTGCTTGCTTCGCTATCAGTCGAACAAACGAAGACTAAAGCGTGAATGACGCTCTGTATACGATTTTAACGCCCTATAAGTTCGGACGCTTTTTAGCGCGGACCCGACGTCCTTATAATTGTAAGTCAATGCAGTCTTCATTAATGTCCGTAATAGGTATCTCATAAATAACATGTAGTTCAGCGAAGATTTTGTGTACATGTTTGGTTAGGAGTGTTTTTATTTATCTGTCTGGATTTTATTGTTTTCTTGGGGTATTGTTTTTCTAATAGGGCAAGAACGGGGCCGACATGTTCTGTAATGATCAAAGCCCCTAAATAAATAAAAAGTAAAAAGCTCTTTTTTGTTTTTTACCCTACGTCAAAAAAAGGAGGAGGTTCTCAATTCGACTGTTTTTTTTTTGTTGTTACGATTACTCCGACATTTATAATATGATTTGTATTATTCTTTTTTTTTGTTGGAAAAGGGATACACAGTAGTAGTTCCATTTAAATTTAAAATATTGCACCTATAATGTTGCAAATTAGGTGTAAATTAGAGGATGAATCTGGTTTATAGGATTTCATCCATTTTTCACGATTTCAATAAAATTTGGCAAATAGACGTAATTCCACAAACATTTGAGATTAGTTCTTTTTATTAAAAAGTTATAATTATTTATCAACTTATTTGTCGAGATTTCTTCGGAATTAAATATTACACAGGTTAAATATTAAGCATTGTTGTTTGCATTTGAGGAAGAAAAAATCTCAACTGATACTGGCGATGATGCCCATAATTTTTATATTATTCTTATAAAACTGACACTGGCACAGGCTTAGTGGCCGCCATAAAGAAAATAATAGTAAGATAAAACCAAAAAACAAGGTATTATCGTAACTTTTAAAAACTTTGATGACATATTTGAAGTTAATATTTTATCCCATGATGGCCACTCTAAAACAGCAGCAAGCTGGCTTAAAAAAGTGGTCAGTCGTCAGTGTAATGATCTTAGGTCAGTGCATGCATAAATATAAAATCATATCCACGTGAGCATTATGGTACTACGAAATTGCCTTGATTGCACATGATTGAACTGAAATATCGGTGTCTGCCGCGTTAAATATTTACAAGCTCATGGGATGCCAGTTTGAATTCCAGGCAGTTTACTGAGCTCGCGTAGTGGTCTCCGCCCTATTCAAACGTCTTCGAAACGATTTCTTAAACGCTTGGTAAGATTTGTTCTAAGAACGATTTTTAAGATGCAGATTAGGTATGTTTTTTTATCTACTAATAAAAAAATCTGATTCTGAGCGATTTTTAGAAATTGTCAGGAATTAAGTTTGAAAGTATTCCAAACAAAAAAGAACTTTTCAACAAACGTATGTCTTATTTTTCGTTAAAGATGCAGCTGACATCGATATTTAAGTTCACCAATCTTGTGCCTATAATCATAATCAAACTCTCCAAACGAATACTTTTGGCTTCTTATCCAGTACAGTAGTAGGTAGGTAATACAGTAGGCGAAATTCCAATACTGTTTATTATCATTGCACAGTTTCACTAAAAATTTTTTGCTGGCTGTTGTAGATATTTTTTAAAAATATAATAATCCAACATACTTTCGAAAATCGGTACAAGATTTTATCATTGTTTTCAGATGTGATCCTAGCGGGACAGACGGGCCATGTGAAAGCAATAACTACTGTCGTTGCAAACAGAACGTGCAGGGCAATTTCTGTAATACATGCAGACCTGGTTCTTTCGGATTAAGCAAAGATAATCCACTCGGTTGTTTATCTTGTTACTGCAGTGGAGTAACTACTGACTGCTATGAAGTTAGTACAAGATGCTCTAAAGTTGACTCTTCAAATGGCTAAGAAAATAAATTACGCGCTTCGTCTTTGGATGACAAATGTATTTACATTATATCTGAATGATTTCCTTCCAGGCTGAACATTATATGAGGATCCCTATGCCAGCATCAATGTTCGGCATAGACTACGGTGGCTACTCCATCACGAACCTCAACGGCGATCTAGTTATCAATGATCAATTTGTCCCCGCGCCCAAGGAGAGCGAACTCTTATACATTTTCTCTAGTCCACCTGATCAAACATTGTATTGGTCATTACCTGTCTTCCCTGGTGAGCGTAAATAATAAAGCCATTACTTACATTATAAAATAATTAACGTTAAATATTTTGTAACATCAGGACATATTCCAAAAGAAATCGTTTATGAATGGCATGGTTCACAGGAAACCGGCTACTGTCTTACGGTGGATCGCTATCACTGACACAAACGTTCGAAAGCGGTGGATACTCTGAAACGTCGACACCTGGTACTGACGTCATCTTTGTGGGAGACTCGGATTCTGTGTATTGGAGCAACCCTACTCCGTTGAGTTCCGGACAACCTCTTGTAAGAAAAAAATTACGTACAGTAGCATGCATTTACCAATAGCGTAAAATACGGCCGCGCGTCAGCCTCGTACTCGTACATTACAAAAATTGGCCAGAGCATTATGGAATGGTACTGCAGGGAAGCTTTAGGTGGCGAATTGTAATATACCTTTAAGTTAAGATATGGGTATACCTAGTTGAAATTTTAATTATTAGTCTTAGCTACAAAAACTAAGTTGCGGTTAGCTTAGGGAAAAAAAATATTCTCTTTCTTGGAATATAATTCTCAACTTCTTTAGCAAGGCTACCAATTTTATTACGTAGTTGTATATTTTTAAATATTTATTTTAAATATACAACGGGTATAAAACCAGCTTGCAACGGTTCGACTGATCTGATGAGGAGCTAGGTGCGAGCACTATGTCGCGCCGTGGTATGCTTCGACATGCCTAAGGATACCACGGCATAATAATCATCAGTGTGAGCTTTATAGGCAGAAATGCTGAATTCCTTGATGACGATACCTTACTATTACCCACCAGTGGGCCCGGTAGTGAGAATTTCATGTTTTTAGCTTCAGAAGTCTCGATGTTTTGCATTGATACGCCAACCAGGACGACGTACTCTTTTATACATTTAGAGTGTTTGAATATATATATTCAAACACTAAATGTAAAAATCTTTTTTCTTTTTAATTAAGATCAAAAATATATTTAAACGAAAATTTTGAAATTGGTCTTCACATCCCTCATTATCATATTCTTTCATTAACAACTGGCGTAAAAGTGGGAGTTGAAAGTTTGAAGCTTTTGTCTGTGTATTTTTATGTCGGTCTGGCATCGTGGCTTCCAAACGGATGGACTGATTGTTAGGTTTGATGATTATTTGTGGCTGTTTAAAGTTCATCAGTTCTTTTCCATGTTTTAGTAGCAGTAGAGCTTCTTGTGAAAGAGTTCGTCCAGTGAAGTACTGTCACCTTACCTATTTCTGCCGCCAAGCAGTAATAAGAGCATTACTGAGTTTCGGTTTTGAAGGGCAAGGGTGCTGGTGAAACTATAAGTGCATGTGACTTGTCAACTTATGTCTCAGAGTGACAGGCGCAGTGGCGATTTAAAAATCGCAAAGAGCTGAAGGACACTGTCACTGGAGCTTTAGCTCCTAGTGTACATTTCAACTGTTATAGACAGGCGTGATGCTTACCACCAGGCGCACGCCTAGTTCGTCCCGTCTCTTGGTATCATAAAAAAAACCCGCGAAAGTACAAAAGGTTAAAAAACAGTTAAAGCCTGTCATTATTTTCTTTTTAGAGCTACCAAGTACCAATTCGTGAAAATGGGTGGTATGTTCTCAATTCGGCAACTCCAGCAAGCCGATCGGTGTTCATGGCTGTTTTAAAAAACTTAAGACGTGTGCTGGTGCGAGCAACACTGTCCAGAACAACGACGTCTACTGCCATTGCAGACGTTGCTATGGACACGGTTACCGAATTGTCTCCTGGCTTCACACCTGCCAAAGAAATTGAGGTACGTAAAATTAATCAAATATTGGAGAACCTTCAATATAAGATAGTGCTGAAAATAATTAGTTGAAAAATAAAATTTTGTATTGTATGAAAACACACACAAACATTTTATTATATTTCAGCTGTGCAAGTGTCCTATTGGTTACACGGGAACAAGTTGCGAAAACTGCCTTCCGGGATGGTACGCTGACCAATACGGCCGGTGTAACCAGTGCAACTGCAATGGTCACGATTGTCAACTTGGAAACCGCAATGAGGTTGTATGCAACTGTCGACCACCTTTCGTTGGACCGGACTGCTCTAATGTTGGTGAGTTAGAAAGTTTCAAAGACATGTTACTATTTACATAAAGAAATATTTTTCATTCCATTTACTGGAAAAATTCTTTTGTTTCCTGCGGAGAGGGGTTAAAATATAGAATGAATTGTTTGCTCCCACGGAGTAAACAATTCATTCGATTTGGCGTTTCCTCCGTAAATATAGATAAATAAAGACAATATAGAATTTTCGTCTCTAGTAAGAAAATTTCAATTTTTTGCTCACGTAAAGACTATAATAAATTAATACAATTGCATAAGCAAGCATTACATACATACCTTTATTTCCTGAAAACTATTCGATACGAAAGTACATATACTTACCAAAAAATAATTGATTATTAAACGGTCACTAGGTGTAGTCATGGAACTGTATCCTAAAATCTATGATGACGGCGATACCGAATCACTATTCAAAACGGTCACATGGACCTGCAAATATAAAGCGCCGGAGCCCCTTGCCATACAGTTTCATTCCGATGGACGAGAAGTGGATTCCGCTCAAAAATATTATAACGAATCGACGCGTCATATCGATGGATGGCATGGTGAACGTGTGTGGCATACCACCTGGGACACGCGGCAAGATTTGACAGTTCAGTGCCACACAGTTACGTCGACGGGAGTGATCTTAGGGGTTTTAAACTCCAAGTTCCAGCATTGTATGTTTTCGTATTTTGTTTAAGTAGCTAATACAATTTCTGGTCTACCAGATGACCTTCGCTTCTGTTCAGGATAGATGTTTAATACAAGTTCTGAATGAACAAAGTAATATAACAATCTCTATGAGAAGTCTCTCTATGAAGAATCTCTATGCGAGGATAATTGCCTTTGTATTTCGATTGCCCTGGTTGGCGTGCTTATTTGTCTTGTCAGCGGAGTCAGTGATTGTTGTGATATATTAACGTCATTTGATGTTATCTAATGTTTGTTCAACGATATTAATGTTGTACAATGTTAATGTTGTGCTATGGTTCCTGGCTGTCGTCTTGAATGTTCGTTTGGCCACATCTACAGCAGTCAGTGATAACTGACCGCTGGAGTATGAGTGTCTATTAGTGTTCCACGCCGTTTAATTTCTGTTCACGCATTGACAAATCAGTAATTATTATTACCTACATGAGTGCTTCTTTAGTGACATTTATTTATTGCCTATTAATCTATAAATAATGCGGTCATGGAACACTAAAATGTACATGTACATTAATGTTTATCTCACATACAGTTCCATTTTATTTAATGTTCACTTGTTCCTGTCTGTTGCTGATCATAAATAATTATAGCCGTTGAGGATTTCTTTGACTTTACATTTAAATACTTTTGAACTGGGTATTGTTTCAGCTGGAACCGGTTCGACCACTGAAGAGCCAGTAATGCCTTCACCGCCCAATTCTACAGTAATTGTTAGAATCACCAGCCCGACCTTTAAGATTCAAGAAGTGGGCAGCAGCGTTAATTTCAGTTGTCAAGCGCAAAGTGTAATGACCACCCAACGCCTACCTATCACTTGGACGAAGGTCGGTGGTCCCTTACCACAGGGCAGAAGCCAAGTCGACAATTGGAGTGGCATACTACTTATTACAAATTTGCAAATGTCTGATAGCGGGAAATACATTTGTGAGACAATGGATGGTGTTTCCACAGCTCAGGCTATTGCTACCCTAAAAGTACCAGGTGAGTACTTAAGAGATTTTGAGAAAAACGCAACAATAGAAATGTGTATTTATTACAATTTCTTTCAATTCTAACTTACATTTACGTTAACGCTTTCTTGGAATAGTTGTTCCGGATTGGGTGTTTTACGCGAAGGGTGAGTAAGCAAGCAAAATATTCGTCCTAATGACTATTACTAAATTGCGGAGTCTTTGACCCAATCAGTGTTTAGGAATATATACATGTTTGTTTCGTTCTAAGTACCTATTTGATCTTCTCAGGCAACGACATGACAATGCCGACGGTGACGATAGACCCGCCCACGGGCGAGTACTATGAAGGCGAGAGAGTTACTCTCCGGTGTATCGTGTCGGGCAATCCAGCTCCCAGAATTACATGGCAAAGAGCCACTAGCCGCGCCCTATCTCCGTCCGCAAATACCTATGATGGCACTCTCATCCTTGAAAATGCGAGGCAGGAGGACTCCGGTGAATACAGGTAGCTAATGTCATCTCTAACTATTTAGTAGACGGCCTGCAGCGCGCTTATCCCTATTCAGGCTATCATTAGGATATCATCAAGTAAACGATATTTTGTATCTAAACATTAGTCACAACAAAATGAAAACTATTGATGTAAACATAACAATGATTCAATCATATAAATAACAATTCATCAAACATAAAATAAACTATGCGATATTGAACTGATCGCAGAGACAACATTTCCCGAAACTGCTTTCAACACTTATTTCTCAAGAAATAATGAAAATAGTTCCTATAATCATATTCCTTTTTAATGAACTATTTTCAGTATACCTATAAATATTTATAAGGAGGTCTATAAGCAGTTATTTACCTATTTTTAACCGACTTCAAAAAAGGAGGAGGTTTTCAATTCGACTGTATGTTCTTTTTTTTTTGTATGTATGTTACGCGATAACTCCGGTATTTGTGAACCGATTTTCATGATTCTTTTTTTGTTGGAAAGGGGGTACTTCCGTAGTGGTCCCATTTTATTTTGAAGAAAATCATCTACCTCTAAGGGTGGCTGTTCACGCATAAAAATTCGTTTTTATAAACAGCGCCTAACTTTAATTTAGGAGCAATTATTTTAATGGTTGACTTTGCTATTTCTCCAATTCAAGGCGTTTTTCCGCTTCCGAGAACCGATTTTTATTATCTCCAGTGTCAAGTCCTGTATAGTGGCGAACTAGGGGATATTTCAATAAAACTTAGCAAATAGACGTAATTCCACGTACTTTTGAGGTCGGTTTTTTTAGTACTCTGTACTGAGATTATTATCTCACTAATGGCGGCGGAACAGCATAAAAGGAATTTATTTTTTAACACATCACATTCATACTTATTCTCTTTTCATTAGGTACATACACATTTTTAAGGCCAAGCTCTGCAAAGTTCCAGTAAAATGATCAAAATACGACTTTACAAAAATAGACCATAAACGATAAGCAGCGGCAAATTCAGTCTCTGACCATTTTTATTGCCAATAATTGTTTAGGCGGTTTTTTAAATGTACGTTGTGGTTTTATGAAATATCAATGGTTGAGCAGCACTTCTAATATTTAAGAGGAACCAAGTAGACACTAATTATAACTACAATGCAAAGATTTGCTAGATATTTAAACCGCGCTATCGATATGTGTGTCGTTTCCTTCTTATATAATTCAGTTAGGTGATTCAGGTTTTTCTGTGTGGTGTGATGTGCAGTCATTCAGAATCATTTACTAATATTTAACGACTGCTGCGTTTAGTTTGCAGTAATTTGCATTTTATCAAAATTTTTATGTAACTACATTAATAGTAAAAAACGGAAGTTGATTCTTGCAAGAAAAACACAACTTTAAAAGCTGCTTATAATTGGACATAGTTATGCAAACAAGAACCAACCCACTCCTCGAGTGAAATTGAGTTATGTATTTAGATAGAACACCAGACGTGTCCTTTACCTGCTCACAAAAGATCCTGGCAATTTACCAAACCAAAACGGTGAAATTAAATGTCCTTCAGGGTACCAACCTTAACTAAGTAACTTTTTAATGGCTAAAAAGAACCACGCTGCTTAACTTCATAATGTATTTTTTTAAATATGCTAAACGGATCCATGTCACATGTACTGAAGTACTGTAGATGTTTAGCGTTTTCATTACGAAAACTAGAACATGGTTCTCGGTAACGAAATAAAAAGATACATAATAGTTTCCCCATATCATTCTCAAAGCTACACATAACTCACGTTGTTTGTCTCAAATAACTTACCTATTTATTTCTTCACACTGTTTTTACTAAAATCTAATTATCTCGAAACTGACATTTTGTGGGTTGGTTCTAGTTTGCATAACTATGTCCGACTGGGAATATGCGAACTACAAAGCACACATTATTTGTTATACTTGTTTAATACTAATTCAATTTTTGTAGGTGTATTGCTACCAATGCAATTGGAACAACAGACCGCGTTGCCATGGTGGTAGTTCGCCCCAGGATGTGGCCGAGCGACCGCCTCACTGTCTCCCCGCAAACATCGCAGGTCACTGAAGGACAGAGCACCCGCATCGTCTGTACTGGAACTTCGAATATGCCCGCTGGATCTATCGAATGGATTAGGTATACATTGTGAAGTGATCGTATCTTCGTACGAGGAAATGTATTGGTCGAAAACACTTTTTAAATATATATTATAACTCACCAGGCAAGACGGCGGTGAATTCCAAGCAAACGTACGCACAGATAACGGCGTTTTGTACATCGATAAAGCAGTGCGTGAGAACCAGGGTGTCTACATTTGCCGTGCCATATCGTCTGGCGTACAATCGATTCCTGTCACACTAATCGTCATTCTTACTTCTCCGCCCAATTCTGCAGATGCCTCCAATATAACAGTGCCCGTAGACCGTTTAACAATCCCCACGGGAGGCAGCGGTTCAGTGGAATGTACGCCCAGTGGATATCCACTGCCTTTCATCAGATGGAAGAAGGTGCGTATTTTTTATTTTATTCGTACTTTTTACATTATTAATTGTAAATGATATCTTCGAAAGTAGGCTTTCTTGTTAATAGGGCTCTTTGAAAATAATATCTGGTAACTCTTATGAATTTTATTGTTAAGTAATTAACACAAATAATTAAATACTTTACAGCATAACGGTTCTTTTGGACCTGGTGTAAGCCAACGAGACAATACCCTCATCATCTCTAATGCGCAAGAGGACGACCAGGGCTACTATCAGTGCGAGGGTGTAATCGCAGGAGAGACAATCGAAAATATCTTCGTTTACGTTGAAATAGAAAGTAAGAAAACATTACATCTTGGCAAAATATCCCTTGCACAGAATATGCAGGCAAAGGATCCAATTGATCAGTTTCTTATCAAGTTGCTCAAGAATGTGATTAATTTTGGCGTAAAAGTCCTATTACATAAATAACCTAAGCTTAATTTAATAAATTAGCTATATATATATTTTATATATATATTTCAAAACAAGTGCCTATGTAAAATATATATTTATAATATATATTTTACATAGGCACTTGTTTTGAAAAAAAAAAGTAATAATTTTCGCTGTGGTTGTGTAAGTGACAATTAAATAATCTTTTAGAACGCGAGCCACCGAAAGTCGTGATATATCCTCAAGGCGAGCAAGCAGTTCCTCTGGGTCAACAGTTCGAATTCCATTGCCGCGTGCTGGGAGGAGTTCCCGTGCCAGATGTCACATGGGACAGGAGTGGTGGAAGACAGCTGTCTTTGTCCACACAGATTCTGCCGCAAAATGTGCTGAGGTCCGTCTTACATTATTGATGTATCGATATTACGCTCAGTCTAAGCAGGCACTTTTGCCATGCATATACCGACGACAGTGTTTTATAAAAAGGACGAAAGCGCCATTTCGACAATTTTTTTTTCAGGGGAAAATGTTTTAATTTTTCACGATTTTATTTAAAATAATTACGTCCTGTTTTATATTCAATTTTAAAACTGAAGGTTAATTAAAACTAAAATTGAATTTTAAAACAGAACGTTAATATTTTAAAAAAGTTGTTAAAATCTAAAACGTGCTGCCCTGAAAAATTTTTCGAAATGGCACTTTCGCTCTTTCTACAAAACACCGACTATGCGCCTCTTTAAGTCTTTCAGTCTTTATATATTGCTCAACCACCGACAGTAATGACTACCTTATTGTACCATCTTTGAGCGATATGATAATGAAATTCAATTTCGTTACATTCAACAATTTTATTATTCCAGATTCGAAAGCGTCGAAGTAAATGATGAAGGCGAATACTCATGCACGGCAACAAATGTCGCGGGCCGAGCCAGTGCCAGCGCTGTGCTAAAAGTGCGGTCGCCTCCCGAAATCACCATCATGCCACGCCAGTACCTTGTTGTAGAAAATGGCGACTATGTAAAAGTTGAATGCAGAGCTACCGGATATCCTGAACCTCAAGTTTCCATAAGTCGTAAGTTGCAATCCTGTTTGTCAGATTATAGAGTCAACAAAGTAGTGATTTTCATTAAAAGTTAAAAAAGGTAATAATAGTACACACCAATTCATAGCCCGGCTAGGGAAACACTAGGGAAACCTTGTATTGTGGGCGCCATGGATACACATATCCAAACTCACGATAGAAATAAATCTAGCCATAGAAATATTTCTCCCGGGCCCGGGAATCGAACCAGGATCTCTGCGTGGCTAATCAGCATGGTAACCGTTCGGCCAGAGAGGCAGTCATAGAAGAAATTAATGCTAAACTTCTTTATGAGCAATGGAATAATTACGTAAAATATACATGGAGAGGGAGGTATTGAAGATGCTGGTGATTTAATCAAGAGTCGAGCAAATTTTTTATTTTTATTTTGCCAGGGGACGACTATCGCGAAGTAGTGCGAGCTTCGCCAGGCATTGCGACGCTTTACATCACGTCAGTTACGGAACGCGATGCTGGCATCTACGTGTGCACAGCTACGTCCGCAGCGGGCACGTCTGAGGAACAATTCGCTATTAGATTTGCCAGAGGCGACGGAGGAGTTATTGATGAAGGTAGGTAAATTTCATATCCAATTCTAGGGGTTGCCAGTTGGTCCTAACATTTGTTGATCGTTTATCGTCGTTAATGACGGAGAATTATATGTGTTGTATTCCTAATTCCTATTGAAATTTAATTCCGTAGCTGTTATCAATGTTGAAAGTTTTTGTATACTAATTCAGATGGTGTAAAAGAGATATCTCAAATTACGTAGTTACTGTTTTAAATCAGAATGCTTTAATATCTTATTCGTAGTTGTATTCTCACCGTCGAAGGATTTCACCTCAATACGCAACTCAGTTATAAATTTCACGCCAATTAAGGTAGTGCCATACACAAAAATAATTTATCATTGTTGCTTTATTTAAGGCGGTAGCGGCGAAGGTGATTTAAATACCTACATTGACAATGGCGAACCCAGAAGCATGGTATTTTACGAAGGAGATCCTTTCGCTAGACTCGAGTAAGTTTTAAGTTTACACAACGAAAATGAAGACTTGTCCCGTCCTTAACTTGCTATAAAGTCGTCATTCATTGTACCGACCATTAGGTTAGTCTAATAAATACACATTATACATTGAGTCAATAGTCGTTATAGTAAAAACTAGCCTTATCATTTCCAGATAAAATGGTTTATGTTTTGATACATTATTAATGCTGACAAGTTTCTGTTAGGTCTTAAATAATGACATACTAGATCTTGATCTTTGTAGAAAACCAATTTCTTTAAAATCCCGCAAAATGGCGAAAGATGTAAATTTAAATCTTATTTTTTCCAGATGTGACGTGAATGGCGACAATCGTTGGAACAGAATTGACGCACCCTTACAAAACAACGCCGTTGCCTCAGGATCCGTGCTTACCATCTACAACGTTAGTTTTGCTATTTATGTCTTATCGCAAACCAACTGCCCCCATTATGTATCACATCACAGGCTTTTGAGATATTGTGAACATGATGAACAATCGCTCATGCTGTTAGTTCCTCTATAGTTTGCGTAGGAGCCGCTTCAAATGTTGCTTGCAACTCGTCATTATTTGCCTTAAGCTCTAATCGCCCAGAGACTCGAATCATATCCTAGTTTAAAACTTTTGTGGGAAAGGGTAAACAAAAAACGCACAGAGTATTCGTTACTTTATATATGTCGTTAATGAGTCACTTGCTCAACAGGTAGTAGAAAAGTTGATTTAAATGCAAAATGAACTCAACATGAAAATAAATTATTACAGTCGAAATTTGAAATTCTAGCGCTTAAGTTTTATTTGAAAAAAGTTTCTAGTCTGCATCTTTCACTGAGAAGACTTTATTTTATTTCCCCGTGGCCAGAATTACAGAACAACAATTTCATACTTAACAGACACATTTGGTGCTGGTAAGCTGCCGTAAATTCAACTTAACATTCGTTTACAGGTCTCAAAGAGCGACGCCGGTCAATATGAATGCTCAGTAATCGATAGTTACACTCAAGAAGTGCAGCAAGCTGCGTACACGAACGTCGTCGTTGTGGCGCCGCCGAAAATCACTTTACAACCGAAGACTCAAACTGTCTTACCTGGGAGCTCGCCAAGTGTCGAGTGCATTGTAGAAGGGGACGATATCGTTGATGTCTTGTGGAGACCTTTGGACAAATCTAGCTCTAGGTAAGCTTTCAGTTAATAAAAGAATAAGGGTGTTTTGCCACGGCCGCGGCGAGACGAGACGACGTGAGACGGGAATTGAAATCTGGCCAGCCTATTTGCACCAAAAATCGCCATTAATAATTATCGTGAGCTCGCGATTGGTATTAATAGCCATCGCGAGCTTTTGCGAACTCGCACTGTAGTGTAGATAGACAGATACAGTGCCGTTCAGTTCGTCTAGCGATCATATTTATGTATGCTAAATTATTATTATGTTATGTTAACGGAAGAAGAAAGTTGTCATCTTTTTTTAATCTCAAACCTTACATACCCCACAATCTCGTAATTAATATTAATAGCTATCGCGAGCTCGCGCGAGAACGTGCAGCACTCGCAAGCTCGCACGAGAAATTGTATTTCCACATCAACAAATATTTACGTTCTCAGCTCGCGCATCCTCACCAATCCTCAACAATTCTACCAAGATACGCGAGGAGAAAATTGTGATTCTGCCATATAAATTTAATTCCTCATCTCACCTCGTCCCGTCTCGCTTCGCCGAAAAGCACCTTAAGGTAGTACCCTCAAATGGTACCGCTAGTGTAATCCATGTTGTTAGTAGAAGATAATTTTAAATCTTATCTAATAATTTAAAGTTTGCACCACTGCATTAAAGTTTGTAGTGCTGATCGATGTTGATCACGCTTTAAAGCAACAATTTCGGTAAAGTTATACATATACTTGAGTTTACCTAGAAAAGCTGCTGCTCTTGTTTCATTTTTATGCTGATTTGCATCTGTCGGTCAATGGGCAGTATTTTTGTAATATATAATTCATCACAGACGCATGGAGACGCGTGGGAACACTCTAACATTCCACCAAATCGAAGTAGAAGACGCCGGGAGATACCAATGTTTTGCTAGAAACCGGTATGGCACCAATGCAACCGCTGACGCTGAAGTCATTGTCAACGGTAGGTATAATTGATTCTTTCATTTCTAAGCCTGGTTTTTATGTGTAATCGATGAGATAACAGAGTCCCCAGCCTGTGTTAGAGTTTTCAACAATAGATAATCTTAACTGTCTTCTAATAGTTAACCAACTTCTTAGTTTACTTAGCATCGAATTATAGAATTGTAACCATAGAGGTGTAATTATGTTATCTGAGTAGTTAGTCACTACACTCAATGGGGACTCTCATATCTGATTACTCTATACATCACAAGCACATGCATAATCGCCTTACGACACTTGTACAGGTTGCGCACTGTAAAAGCACCTGTTACGATTCTGTGCTATTCACCTAGAGGCATTGTATAATTGACGAATTTATTGCAATCATCAAAATGTTTATCACCGCTCCATGACGAGGAATCATTTTTTTGCATAAACTTACCTTTTGAAAAGTTTTCGATTCATGGAACGGGTTCACTCGTACATACTTTCATTTCAAATGCTTACTTTTTAAGTTTCCTTACAAATATTGACTGTACTTTATGAAGTTCAGTTGATTGCATGGTAATAAATAAACGTTCATAGAGGAGTCTGTGGGTCCGCCTACGGAGTCCCATGAGAACGAGCAGTTTGCACACGTCGGAGCAACGGTACATTTGAGCTGCAATGTAACGCAGCCCTCTGTCAGGATTAGATGGACCAAGAACGGCAGGCCCATACCCCCGCAAAGACAGCGGAGCGACGGCTCCTTATACATCCAGTATGCTAAAAAATCCGACAGCGGATACTACGTGTGTGTAATTGAAGACAGATACGGAAGAAAAACAAACAATTACATCAACCTCCACATCGGTCAGTGTACCTATACACACGGGTGTCATTTCAATGTAGTCGCTTTGTGCTCCCTCTTTTGTGAGGAAATGTAGTAATACGTATTCTCTTTGCTTATAAATTAACGCCTTAGGTTCTTTTAACCCAGGCATGCCTAGCAAAACTGTTCAATTTCCAAGTTCTCCTTCTTATATTTTCTACTTTCTAGTTTTGAATTCTTTATAGTTTCACTTCGCTTTTGATATTGTAATGGAATTTATTCAAATTCATTTGTTTGCTTATGATACACTGGTTATGAAGCTGTTATAAATGTGCATTTTCATCACTGTGACAGTAAATATTACAGAAAAATATTACAATCAAAATATTAGCTACATTGTGTCTAGTTGTAACCAAATGAATTTTCAGGAAAATACAATGGAAATATCTAATACACTAAACAATGTTGTTTTCAGTTCTATACAATTATTCTGATTTCTAATTTCAGTCAGACTGTTATTTTTGAAGCTATTACACTACACTCACTCCAATTAGAGCAGTTTTGCATGGTCTACTTCGCAGTCGATCAGTGCGGGCCGTATGATGTATTAAAATAAATTAGGCTGTTTTGCAAAAAATGTAAATTATGTCACACCCCTCGTGGAGGAATGGCAAAAAAAAAATGTAAATTTTATTCTATAAAGTATAATAATACAGGGGTATCGATTTATTTTAAAGCGTTCGTCATGACACGTACACACTTTTCCATTCGTCTAAACTAATTGGAAAATACTGATGACTACTCTTCCTTAGGCTGACTTCTCACGGTTCGAGGTTTCAAGGGCCGCGCCGCCCTTTAAGCCACGGACTGTGTGAAGCCAGCATTAACCATCTGTAGCCATCATTAGAAATTTTAAAGTATAATCAGCCAACGCATTTTCTTTGCTTTCAAGCAGGTCGCCTTTTTTTAGTTTTATCTTAAAATTTTTAAAAGAGGTAAAAATCACAAGGTCAGTGGAATATGGCGACTGATGCAGGTTAGATACGTTTTTTGAATAAAAATAGTCGAATGTTCTGGCAGACGTGTGCGGAGCGGCATTGTCGTGATGTCAGAGGAGGTGCCGGATTCCTGATTTCGGCGACTTGTCACAAAGCATTCGGAGTTGACTGTCCTTTGATCTTCTAGGATCCCAGTAGCAATGTGTCTCGCGTGCAGAAAAATGTCGGCACATCTTCATAGTGCCATACCGTGGACTGTCGCTTTGTTTCAGGACAGTATTAATGTTATACTTTTTAACCATGTTTCATCAATTGGCAGTAAGCATAGTATAATTATCGTTTTCTTTTTGGGTTTGTGTGGAACCCATTACGAACAACGCTTATGGAGAGACAGTTGACCGTGAATAATAATAGCCTGAGAAGCTGCTAATCCAATGGCCAGTGATGCTCAAGCTCAACATATGTGATTCGTCAGTTTTCTTAAATATTTTTTTCGAAAGCATCAACGGTATCTTGAGTAAGAGCGATTGGCGGCCGACCGGGCTTTGCTTAATCTTCAAAACGTCCCCGTCTTCTTTTAAATTAAGCATACCAATTGAAAACTGTTGCTTGTAAACAAGCAGAATCACCAAAATCTGTGGCTGAAAGTTCAAAAATTCTTGTGGTTTTAAACCTTTTCTGCAAGTCAGATCTAGTAACGGTAGAGCTGCTTGTAATAGAGTTCGTAGATGGACGTACGGCCACCTTTCCTATTTCTGCCGCCAAACAGTAATGTGTAAGGCTGCTGGTGAAATTATATCTGTATATAATGCATGTGAGACATGTCTCAGGGTATCAGGCGCAGTGGCAATACCCTCAGATCTTTGCGATTTAAAGCTCAGAGCGGCACTGCAACTGTTTTGGACAGGCGTGTCGTTTAACACCACGCGCGTTACTTGTTCCTCTGGTCACTCGATTCACTCGATGTTATAAAAATAAAAGGTCACTTGTTGTGTGTGGTTCGACCAGCCCGGTTTAATAAAAAACTTTGATCATAGACCCCTGTTGCTCTTTTCATCATCATTTAAAAATGTACAAGCGGATACACGCTGCTGCTGTCTGTGAGTTGTTATAAGACCTTTTTTCACGCAGGTTTACCACGTGTGACTGACAAACTGTGGATTGATGTTATTTTATTTTCTGATTATATCTCTTGTTGTGAAATTAAGATTATGAACCAGTCTTCATTCAAATAAATGTAAAAAATTTGCATTTTATAAATATTTTAGTTTGAAAGTCATCCTGCCTTCACATTGATGCAGTTTGAAAGTCCATCACTGAAGAATTTTTGAAATTACTGCTTCGCTAAAAGATAGTTTTTTTAATGATTTACAGCTAAGTTATTATAATTATTTTCAGCATTGAGTTATTTAATTCAAACTTGTGTTTGTGTCAGATTCATTTTGACAGATTGCAGTGAATAATGTAGGGTCATTAATTGATTAATGAATGTCAATTAAGTATATTAAGAAAAATAATGGTTTCAGCCATTGACTTACAAATAAATGGACGACGGGTCTAATACAAAAACCACGAAAAAAATGTCCCAAGTCAACCTATTTAAACGTAGTGACATGTAAAGGAATATGAAAAAGCTAAAACGTTGAATTTAAATTGTAATGTCATCGCAGTACTGTCTAATTTTGCTAGCTTCGCTGTCAGTCGAACAAACGAAGACTAAAGCGTGAATGACGCTCTGTATACGAGTTTAACGCCCTATAAGTTCGGACGCTTTTTAGCGCGGGCCCGACGTCCATATAATTGTAAGTCAATGGTTTCAGCACACTACCTTAAAACATTCCTGACTTATTGTTCCTATTGTTTTATGTATGATGAAACTTCTAAATTAAAGGATGCACTTCACTAATGTGTGTTTAATGCATTCTATTGCTGAGGTAAGCTTTTATTTGTTCTTGAGCAGTAGTTCTTACACCGTATACCCAGTTTCAGAAATTAGAGTAATTTATACATACTTAATTACGTTATGGTGTACCTACACAATAAAATCCTTTATTCGCAGTAATTCCAGGTACTAAGTAATACCTTGATTAGATCTATCTGGGTACAATGACAAAACTGATTGACTTCTGTCCATCTTAGAATATATTTTATTGAGAAATTCGTAGGAGACGAAACTTTTGGAATTTTTCTTATGTATGCCATTTCACTGTCTAGAAATAAATATATTAATGGATATTTATTTCTAGATATGAATTATGATGAAATAAGAAATTAGACTTAATTTTTTAATCATTAAGGTACTGAATGCACAGACAGACAGTTTCGTTGTAAAGATGGATCTCATTGCGTTCATGACGACCTTTTGTGCGATGAAATCTACGATTGTCAAGACAAGAGCGATGAAGAAAGCTGCTTGCTAAAAGAAAAGCGTTTCCTGCCGGAGAGGCTATACGACTTTTACGACAATTCTCCGTATGGTAATTCTATTAGGGTTTGGAGTTATTCTAAGATGTTGAGGTACAGGTTGGGAAGTGAATAATTTAAGTAAAAAGTCAACTTGTTACGTATTTTCTTCAAATAGGAACTTATTAGTCTCTTTCTATAAATATGTCGGTACGATAATGCTATATTTAATTATTTCAAAAAATATTCTCTTCAGGTTTCATTGTTTGTTTAGATACAAATAATTTATGTTAAAAATTAGAAAACCGAAATTATGAAATTTAAAGTTGACTTATTACTTACTATTGGGAAAGTTTTGAGAGTGCTGTGAAAACAATACTAGCACAGATTTGTAATAGCGACGTGATTGTGTTGTATTTGTTTGTGCTGGATTTATCGCTATCGTTCAGATCTCTTAAAAAAGACCTTTATACTTCTTTTTCTTTCTTTTATATCGAATTACTACAAGATGTAAATTGTTAGTGACGTCAACAAATTTAATTCATAGTTTTGTTGGTTGTAAATAATGCTTTTAGAATTGCATGGAATTGTGTGATTAAATTACAGCTTATAGAGCATGAAGTTGGTATATTTTCGTGTTGGGTGGAGTGTCGGTGAAACCTTTTCTAAACACTTTTTATTATTGACATTTGTTATTATGATATTTGTTGCAGTGTACCTATTTGTTGTTAAGGCAAATGTACTACATTGGTTGATTATATATCTAACCAAAATCAACTAACTCTTGAGTAATTTATTTATTGTGACTTGCTTAGTTTTTATAATTTGAAGCCTATGGAAATCATTGATTAGCATCGGCAGCGCATCGGGCGAAAATCGTCCGGTTTCTATATTAAGATCTTGAAATCATTTTCTCACTAAAGATGTGTATTGTAGGTCAACCCGATGAAGAAATGAAATTGGTAACGATTGACCAACCGAACAGAGCCTTCAGGGTAGGCGAAAATGTAGAAGTGCTCTGCAGAGCTAACTCTAGAGACGTAAAAGCCGAATGGGAACGTTACGCTAACCAGCAAAGGCAGTACGTGGAAAATCACGTAAGTTACTCGTAATACGTTATGCATTATTATGTAATAAGCTCTCATTAGTTGTTCCCATGATCCTACGCCGAAGCTAGTCGGCCCCTTGTTAAACAAACTTCCTGATATTAATAGGGCGCACTATAAGTTAACTGGCCACTTACATAAACAATATTTAAAAAGTAATTACAATATTTGAAAATGGAAATCCTTGGCTGTAGAATACAGTTTGTTTCATCTGACTGTCACTTGTTTTTACATTGTGGCGTCAATTTAGAAATTGGTTGTCTACATCACCATGGATTTAGCTCGTGAAAATTTTCGTAGTATGATTGTCTATGACTTTTAGTGTAATTTAACAGCTCAGCGGAGCTTTGCTCGGCTTCAAACTGCTTTTGGCGATGAAGCACCATGAAAAACGACTATTTATAGCTGGTTTGCAGAATTCAAACGCGGTCGTGTGAATCTCAGTAACGAATTTCGTGAAAGTCGCCCGTCCACTGCTGTG